TTGCCGCGTGAGACGAAGCCAAGGAGCGAGACTCCTCAGTGCGCTCGGCCAGGGTCTGGAAGTGTTCAGAAACTGATTCGTTCTTTTGAGGGATTCAAGGGAAACTTAGGCTGATTTGAATTGAGGTCCAGATCCCAGGCATTCTCACACCCTGATTGGCGAAGAAATGCTTCTGCACTGCGAAGCATTGATCGCCCAGGTAGGGCGACAAAAACACCATTGGTTGTGAAGAGCAGCTTTCAGCCGTGCGCGGCTGTGTGCGCGGACTGTGGAGAGTCATTTTAAGGGTGAAGCGATCATGATCAATCTCTACCTTTCATAATTCAAAAAAATCACACTTTCGGTCGAAGACTGAGCCCAGCGTCGTAAAGGATCTTCAATGGCTTCGTCGGCAATGGCAAAGAGCGCCATCCTGAAACAAAGAGCTAAGTCACAAAGAGCGCTCTCTGCTTCCATGGTGTTTTGCCTTCAAGGAGTCCAAGGGCAAGGCCTTCTTCGGGAACTACCACCTTTGCCACTCCTGCCGCTATGAATGACCCTATCCAAGACCAGTTGTTGGGGGCGCAACCTTGGGTCCATCGGAGTCCATCGGAGTGTATCGGAGTCCATCGGTTCACTGACGGACACGGGTAGTGTGCATCAAAGCCACCAATTCAACATGGTCCCCAAGCCGCAGAACATCAGCAAGCGAAGACCTTGGTCTCTGAAGACTCAGCAAACTAGACTTTGAAAGCGAAGAAAATGTCCACTTGGGCAAAATACAGAACTTCGTTCTGACTTCTGAGTTATGACGGCAACCGCTTCTTCACTCTTGCTGCTTCCACATAGCTTTGCCAACCTTTCTCTTAATGTGCTTCATCAGTTTCCAGAACAACTGTCGACAGCTAAGGCATCCCGGCAGTATCTGCCCAAGCCTGTGCTTGATCGGGCAAAGCAAATGGCAGAGATGATCGTCACGTACTGTAAAACCTCAGAGCTGTCGAGTATGACCCCATGGACGGACAAAACGGGAGACTCCTATGTCCCACTGAAAGAGTCTGGTAGGTTCGAGGCCATCGCTGGTAGGTTTTGAGGCCATTGCTACGAGGGTGGAGGCCATCGCTATATAATAGAAAACTAGTTTCCTTTTTAGTGTCCGTTTTTGTCACCGAAAGGGGTTCCTTGGGTCCACCGAATTTGCAAGTTCAGGGTTCAGGGCACCCACTGGCACACACCGAAGAAGTTCTGCTCGTGATAGCCTCAGGCACGTGCAGTTGGAATCAATCAAAACAAAAGGCTTTGGCATTGAACGTCTACAACCATGTCCAAATCCAGATTTAGATGGTGTATACTATACCGCATGCATATATATATATAATTATATAATAGCGATATAGACAATTGCATTAAAATATATAAATATATTATACACATATGTGTGTATTTGTGCCCAAAGATTCCTCTTTGCCAACTTTGCTAACATGCCACCCGCCCAGTCAGGCCTTCCCAGGAATGTGAAAGGACCACCAGCGCGACGCAAAGCACTCGCCACAGGTCAAAGTAAAGAATCCTGGGCGAAAACACCGGGTCCGCAGGGGCTCCGCAGGGTCTGGTTTACGTCTCAGAACATCTCAGAACGACACACGGGTAAGATGCAGGAGGTTGTTTTCAATTTAAGGTATAATATGGTGTAAGTATATACCTTCTCTCTTCTTATCAAGGGTGATCCAAACTTCTTCAAAAGCATCACCATGTCAAAACCCAAACTGTCAGGCAAATCAGAACAAGCATGTGGCCAGTAAGGAGTATCAGGATGTATCAGGCAAGTTCGTGAGCTTCTGTGCTTGCTCTTTCACATCACCTTACTTTTTGCCAAGCTTCCTTTCCAACTCTACCTGGTTCAAGCGCGGAAAGTGCGGAGACATGCCAATTCCCAACCGCCAACGCAAAAGTTGACAGTTGCATCATGCATGGAACCTCTATTTCCCACCAATGGGTACATTTGTTTCGACTTACAAGCCAGACAGCAGCTGAATTCATTTCAGATCTGGCAACGCCTGCCTGTTTATGACAAAAAAGTGCTTCAAACTTCTTCAAAGAGGTCTCTTACAAACACTTGGGGCCATCTACCCAGCGCTATCTGTTTAGAGGTGATTTATTTGCTTGTTCATGGAGTACATGACCGTTGAACTGGTTTATGACCTTGGGGGGCAAGAGTAAAAGAGCATACAGTAGCTTTGTTGCTGATGTTAACTTGCTCCAAATTAGCTTCTGCATGTTGAGACGGACCAGACTCCTTATACTGTAAGAAACCTGCAGCAGCACTTGCCGACAGGGCTAGTGCCCAAGAGGGATGCCCCAATGGAGGGTGTCAGGCCGCATAGGCTGGTTGCACATGGTGTTCCTTGGCATGATAACATGCTAACGTCTGTGGTTTGCACACATCAATACGACAGACGAAGGACGTGCTCCGTCTTCTCGGTTCCACTTGACCTCCACTCCAGTAGCCTTAGATAAAATGCTCACAGCAACACTTACATCATCTTACATCGGTCTTCCTTTGCTTCTTTCTAATGGCTGGCGGAACAAGGATTACAAAGCAAAGAAGACAATTGCACGGAATATGAAAGGGTAATTATTGGTCAGCAATATTTGTCACCTAACCCTGTACACACTTACACTTCCGGTTATGTACATGAGACAGGGATGCTGGATCTATGCATTGACTGACCTGCACACAACTACTCTTCGGCCAATCCCATGTTGATACGGTAGCTTTGAATTTGTGCACCAATGCTCAAGCATCTTCCAACACTTATTTCATCTCCCCTCCAACTCCAAGAAAAACCTCCGCCTGTAAAAAGGCGGAACTCACCGTCACCTGGCCCGAAGAAGTGCCGCTGCGGCGCTTGAAAATAACGCCCACGAGGAAAAGGGTCACCGAAACACCCAAGACAAGCAGTGCAGAAGCGCCGAGGTGCGTGAAGCCTCGGAGGGTGGCTCGTCGGATCCCGGCGGAATCCCAAGCCATGGTTTTTTTTTAGCCCATATTGGCTCTGTCTGAGTGTCTCTGACGACCTCAACCTTTGAAAAAAAGAATAACTTGAACAGGGAGAAGGTAGACGTACGTAGACGTCAAAAAAGCTCCTTCTATATCCTTCCATGATCTACAAATCAAGAGTAAATGGTACAAGTTCGTTGCATGCCCAGTCCGCGGGCTACACACGTATTCGCACAAGGCGAATCATCGTATTAAGTACGGGCGTTGTTTGCTGCAGAATCGCTACTAGGGGCAACTGGCCGTACTACTAGGAGCAAGTAGCTACTAGTAACTTGATTCAAACAAGCTGCTCACATGATCCGAGTGCAAGCCTTCTTGCTTGTGGCTCTCTCTCATTCGCATCTAGGACCCCCTGAGCAAGGGAAGGGGGTCTTGGGGTCTTGCCAATCTCCATTGGAATGTTCGCTCATGAAATCACAAGCTTAAACATCTTAAATTATAAGATATTATAAGCATGTGTTTCAAAGTACATTCAATGCGACTTCCAAAGGAACCTGAAAGCCATTCAGGTCCGTGATTTGCGGCTCCGTCTTTCGTTTGTCAACCTACCCAGGTGTCAAGCTCCTCCCCAAGGCGGAGGGTCCACAGCTGCCCATGGTACTTGCCAAACGACGTCTCATGGCTGCAGAAAGCCGAAAGCACACCATATTCTCTGAAACCTACTAGCAAAAGGAACCCAATAGCAATGGCCTCCAACCTAATAGCGATGGCCTCCAACGCAATAGCGAAGCTTCATGAGGTGTAATTCCTTGGGAGACTTTGTGAGTCAAAACCACGTCTCACTATGTCTCACTTTGGTTTGTCAAGCCACCATGCTTTTGGGGACACACCCTTCCTTGCACCTCTCTCCAGGAAGGTATGATGAGATGACAAAAGGCTTAACATCCTCCTTTGATTTGAGGCCTTGTGCAGAGCGTTTGAAATGAAGTATGACTACAATATATAATATATTGCAATTATAGGCAGGTCCAGACGATGTAGTTTCTTCTGGCCAGAAGAGACCGGCACTGCAAATACATCTGGATAAAGGGCGGGCGCTTCTTACGCCGTCCCGAAGGTGAGACAACAGTCCGGCATTTGAGCGGTGCCTCATCTTTGCCCTTTACAACTTCCGGGAATCAACCACTACCAATTCGATGTCACGCAAACATATTAGAGGAACTTGATCTTTGTGAGTCTCAAACGGTCTTCCTTCTTGGATTCCAAGACTTCAAGACTTAGATCCCTCAGCAAGGACTCAGGAGCCAGCCAATGCCGAATTGAGCACAAGCCACTCCATCAGGATGTCATTCGACCTTCTGACTCACAACACCTTTGCAAAACTGGTAGAAAAGGCAGCAAAAGTGTTGATGCGATGGTGCTCATAAGTGGCTCCAGAGCGATAACAAATAATAAGTCCCGATGCTAAGCCCTCAAAGCAACAGTCAACTTCTTGCCTTGGCTATACCCTGAAGCTGTCTTGATGAGAAACATACATCGGGTGTTGAAGTTAAGTTTCCCTAAAAATCAAGGAACCAAATCATTGGTGCAAGCGCGTCTTCAAGGAAGCTGAACTATCCTGCGTCCATATCAGAGCTTCCTATTGCTGGTAGTGTGCTCCCGCCAACTTTATTAAGGAGGCAGGTCCACGGGCTAAAATAGTAAAAGACAACTCAAGCTTGGCTTTAAGTCCAAAGTCTGTTCAAAAAGGCTGGAATGAACATTGACACGACTGTCGGGTGCTAGAGTTTCCTGTTTCAATCAGACTTTGCCATCTCATCAGACATAGAATATCATAGAACATTGCTGCTTGGCTTGGATTCAGCGTGTCCTACCATGACTTGTGACTCATGTTTATTTCGACCAAGTCTCACTGGAGTCCGGTCCCTCAGAAGAAGTTCACACCCCTCACGCTGAACCCATTGGTTGTGGCTCATGCGCGTGCTGCAAATGTATGTGCTTCAGTCAGCTGAGATCATCTTCACCTTGGGCACATCGGCTATCTAGTGTATTCTAGTGTTAGGATTTGGGTCTCCTGGGGAAGCATGATTCAACTTCGACAAGTGCAACATCGTCCTGTAGCCTGGAAAGGCCAAAATTTGCATTGCTCCCTCGGCCAACTCACTTCTGGAGAATCTGCTGGCTATTGCTGGCTATAGCGGCTTTCGCATTTCAGAGCAAAACAGCCAGCATGAGGCATGAGGTATCATCGCCGAATCAAGGTGTTCGTCTTGAAGCATGGCAGAACCGAACAAATTGCCTCCAGAAAGATCCTGCTTGTCCCTGGTCCATTAGCCCATGCACCTCAGCGTCGAAGCCCGCACCTCGGTATTCGGGAAAGAGTCATGGAAATTCCAGCGTCCAAGCTGTTCGGGCAAATCGTGCTGTGTGGTCTAATGCTCGCCATGTTTACGTGGGCGCCTGATCCATTGTATTTCAATATGATCCCCCATGAAACTCCAAAAATCAAGCTGTGCACCTATCCGACTATAGAGCTACTCTTGAAAGGACGCTAAAATGTGTCAACTGCCAAGCCACAAGAAGGCACGGTGTGATGCACCGGTGGCTCCCAATGGTACGGCCTGGCATCGTTTGGGATCCTCCCTCCGACACAGCTGGTTGCAACATGTTTCAACCACCATGCAGTGGAGTATATCAAGGGAGATCTTCATCCACTGCAGCTGGTTGTGAACCCTTCAGGCTTCAGGTCCTCAGGTCACTGGAATCCGTGAGCCAGAAGTTCGAGAGCACTGACGAAGAGTTGTCGTGGAATGGCATTGTCATTGTAATATATTTTAACACGGTTGTAGTGGCCCTTTCTACTTCTGACAGCATTTGGATGCACTGAATCTTACTTTCCAAGAAGATCCAAGAAGTATCCCAAGATCCCAATGCACCTTCTGCTTCGTACTCCGGTCAAAAGTACCTCTCTCCTCTGGGTAGAAGCCATCCTGAAGACAAATCGCAAATTGCAGTGCTGAAAAGCATTGTTGACATGGGGCAATGGGGCATGGGGCAAAGAAAAATGCAAAGAACATGTTGGAGCCATCTCTAACACTGGAATGACGACCTCTCATGAAACCTCCAACACCGGACACGATCCTCACAGATTCTGGGACGCACAGAACAGGAACTGGAGACTTGCAGCAACAGGAGAAAGAAAAGGAAACAAGAGCCTTCAAAGAAGATTCTGCAACTGGACCTTGGTCACCCTTGGTCCGCGGCCGACATGTCCAACAAGGAGCTTTGGGCCATAGGGGCAAAGATGGGTGAAGGGTCAAAGCAATCCACTTGGGAGGCTGAAGATGACCAGAAGGCCATGTTGGTCTTCGCAAGTATGGAGTTTTTGCCCACATCGACATCAGCCAGGCCAGACATCAGAAAATTGACTCTCATTCTGTACATATCTCCAATGATTTTCGACTTTCACGGCGCAAGAGATGCCAATGGACCAATGTTAATGGTAGGAAAGCCGGCTTCCATCGTTCCGAACGCCGTCGGATGGATGGCGATCAATGAAGCAACCAGCCTCAAAGAGTGACAGGGGTAAGTCTGGACTCCCGCCGGGCAATACAACTAGCCTGCAACTGCGGACCGTGGCAAAAGAAAAACTATCTTCGTGCAGCACAAGAATTTAACAATCCAGGTCCACGAGGTATTGACTCAATGACATAGTGTAATCTGTAGCATAAGCACCAGAGTTTGTCATCATGGCCAGACAGGAGTCAACGCCGCCAAGAAATATAGGATAATATAGGACCGGATGACCCCACATGTAATAACTTCACCATGCCATGCAATTCGCACAGGCACAGCGGCGGAGACCCAGGAGCACCAGAGCGACGCCAGGACACCTGCGCAATTCACACCGGCGCAGCAGCAGAGACGCGAGCACTAGGGCGACGCCAGGACCTACTGAGACCTACTGTACATCCCATCCCTGCAGAGCACCAAGTACTGCGCCAACCACGTCAGCACAGCGGCGGAGACCCAGCTGCACCAGGGCAACGCCAGGGCGTCCATCCGACCCTCTTGAGAGCACCAAGTGCTGCGCCTGCCACGCAAATGAAACCGGCACAGCGGCGGAGACCCACGAGCACCAGGGCGACGCCAGGGCGTACATCCGACGCTCTGGAGAGCACCAAGTGCTGCGCCTGCCACGCAATAGACACCAGCACAGCGGCGGAGACCCAGGCGACGCCACGACCCTCTGGAGAGCACCAAGTCAACAAGTGCCGCACCTGCCACACAATGGCATACATCCGACCCTCTGGAGAGCACCAAGTGCTGTTGGTGGATGTTGTTGGTGCATGTTGTTGCTGGGATGTTGTTGGTGGTTGTTGTTGGTGGATATTGTTGGTGGATGTTGTTGGTGGATGTTTGTTGGTGGATGTTGGGCGGGAGAGGAAGGAAGGAAGGAAGGAAGGAAGGAAGGAAGGAAGGAAGGAAGGAAGGAAGGAAGGAAGGAAGGAGCGGATACAGCACTAAAAAACTAAAATAACACACGTCAATGTGGGGAATAAAAGAAATCTATCAAATTAGATGTGTATATATATATAACGTTGTAAGAATGCGAGGATGCAAACCTACTCACCGATGAAAACACCAAAAAACAGGATGGACGAATACAAAACCACGAGGCCGTGTTCCTCGGAGAAAGATTAAGGTGGCATCAAGGTTCAATGGCCATGGATCACCCACAACCACAACCAGTCGTCATGGCAATGTGCACAATGTCTTAACCTTCCCAATTTCCGGCAAGCAGAAAGAACCGCTGGACCAGGAATCCTGTCCCGTGCCAACATCTTCTATGGAAGCTACTGTACAACGAAGAAATCTGTTTGAGAGTCATTGCGAATCTCTCTGTATGACCTATGCCCCTATGCCTTGTATAGACACATGTCCACATTACAAGTACCTATGCCTTGCACTTTTGGTTCTGAAGATCCATACCTCACAGGACTCGGAGGTCTTGGCCAACGTTGCCCTGCGACGCCTTCACACAGCGAAAAAAGGGAAGTGTCGACGCCCAGATGTGCGATGCAAATGGGTGTTAGTATGTGTATGTTCATTTACTTGGGTTCTTGGATTTTTCTCTGTTGATTTGAATCGTGGAGCTTCATGGCATGCAATCCCCTCCGTAATATCAAACGTGTGACGTGTAAGCAAACAATCTGAGATGCCTTGGATTTCTGGGGCACAGGAACGTTTGTATTACTTGGGAATACTGAGGCAACCCTTGAACCGTCCAACCGTCCCAAATGCGATGAAAAAAACCGGCCTCCGCAGATCAGTATGTCTACCATATCCTGCCAGGAAATCAACCGACGCCGCTTCTGTGTTCTAAGATCGTGATCATTATTTATCGTTTGTGATTGTAACTTGTTTCACTCTTGCTGCAAATGTTACAGTGTTCAAACTCTGTCACAGTAATACTATCCCTGCAAGGTTTTGCAACATATCCTTCTGATTTCTGATCCAAGATCATGATGTTGGTCCATGAAGCACATCAGTCCTCCAGGCTGAAATGGCCTGGCGGTTTGCCCACCCAGCCCCCAGGCCTCCCACTAAATCAAAAGTTGTTTTGCAACATGACTTATGTCCATCTTTCTGGGTGCCCATGAGATCAGAACACTGTCAGATCCAAAGCAAAATTGCGATTTGGAAAAAGCCCTCGCAGCCCACAGCATCCAAATCCATCCCATCCATCCAAATCCATCCTCATGCTGGGAAGGTTCATCTGTTTCAAGGCTTTGGGCACGTGCATAATGGCCTCAAACACGCGACATCTGTGACGTTTCTGCGACGTCAAGACAAGTCACAATATGAGGGACCCTGTCCAAGATCCAAACTGCACCGGCACAGTCTTTCTAGAGGACTATGACGACTTTAGTCAAGCCCATGCAACTTAACACATCGGGAGGTCCAGCCTTGTCATAGTCCAAGGACAACGCTGTGGGAGGCAAGCCATGGCCTCCGACCAATAAAGAGTCTTCTGCCACCTGGGAGGCAAAGATTTCACAACCGGAAGGAAACATCTGAACATGTGCAGACCTGAAGTTTCATTCAACCCGTGCACATGCAGGTCGAAATGGCAGGAGACAAGGAAGAATCTGCTGCAGAGCAATATTTTGCGGTACAGAAACAAGCCAAAGAATTTAGCAATCGATCGCCATCGGTTGAATCAATATAATTCCACAACGATCTCAATGGTACGTGTTGGTTTCCCACCTCACCAAATAATACTTGGAATTCCTGCGCTCCCTCCATTTGGATGCGCTGGAGCACGAATTGGTGTTCAAGGGCGAGAAACACTGATGCACGTCAACATCGGCCTTCAGAGGAGTCCGAATTGAGCTATCCGGTTGCCTCCTTTCTGTTGGACGGTATATCAATGTGGATATCAATCAAGCCACATTATGAGAAATCGCACTATCCAGGTCAACGAACCCGCCCAATTTACAATCTATGTCTATGTCACATCCTTTTAACAAACCCTGTGGGCAACGGCTCACAGCTCCAGGCCACCAGACGGTGCTCATGCAGGTGAGCGCGCCCCGGGTGGAGAAATGCCACGTTGGCCTATGGCCGGCCATGTGGAGAGCGCGTTTGGGTGGAATCCCGTCCTTGCGCCGGTTCCTAGTTCCTCTCAAAGCATCTGAAAGCTCCTTTTGGGAAGAATGAGTGATGCAAACGACTTCTCGAACTCAAGTCGTTGGAAACCCCATCTAGAAGGATGTTTCTCAACATACAGGCACCCTCAGACCAGGGTGGAGAGAACACCTTCGGGGACACTCAATTGAAGGCTGTAGACATCTTCTTGCGTATTCAAAAGGACATAATATGCGCACTAGTAGTATGTAACATTAGTAACATTAACATTACATAATAAATTACACTGCGGAACTGAGAGTCAGGTTCAGCAACACCAAGCTGCTCCCCCTGTCGGCTCCAAAGGCGTAGCACTCCATCGGAGCCAGCGCTCGCCAGGGCCTCGTGGCGAGTGGAGGAGTGTCTTGGGGGCAGCGTGCTATGGGAGTGACTATTGGTAGCTTCTTGTTCCTAGTAGCGCCTTGCTCCTACTAGTACGGCCAAGAGCCCCTAGTAGCGTCCTTGCTCCTAGTAGCGATGCCAGGAGCCCCTAGTAGCTACTGTTCTCGGGCAAAAAAAAGACACTGACCTTTTGGGGTGCAACATGGCATGGTCTAAATCCTTTGAGATTAACCTAACTGGATTCTCATAGAACTCCATGGTTCCTCCATTGCCTGAAAACTGTGTAACTGGGATCTAAGGCAATTTAAAGCAAGTGAGATTTTAGTCCAAATAAATGGGATGTGATCAACCGTGGCAACGCTGAGAATGGCTGGATCGCTGACTCCTCTAAGTGCCGCAAATCCCCAGCTTGCGCCACTGAGCAGCACACTCCAGGCACCACGGCCAAAGCTTCGACCTCACAACTATTTCGACCCATCTAGGTGACACAGTTCATTTATGCCATGTGAATGTGAACTACTCACAAGTAGAACCTACTCTCTACACTGATAATTTACACAAGCATCCCCTTTGAAATTCATATGGCTACTTGGGTAGCACCATTTCATACTATAGATCCACGCCCCCCATGTGGGGGTCTCTATAAAATCATGCCCCCCCAACTCATGCGCACGCTATAGAATCAAAGCCCCTGTGTCGTGAAGTGAAAGCTCACGGAAAGTATGTATGAAGTTTTCAACACTAAAGAATCACAACCCCCATCTCACAGACCGATTCCTTATAATGCTATATGTGCTTGCTTTTTCATCATGAGCCTTCCAAGGGATTTTTTTCATCATGAGCCTTCCACGGGAAAGTTGACAGAGCACAAAGTTGAAAGAACAGAGAAAAGGTGAAAGAGCACTCAAAAAATGACTCACCGAAAAAAACACTCAAAGGTCAAAGGTTGTTCCTCTATAGAATCATAATCAGTCAATGACCATCAACATGTCTGCCACTAAGAAATCAAAGTCCCCATGTCACCAGTACAAAGCTCACGGAAACATAGATCTCAGGGTTCTATCACTTTAGAATCACGACCCCCAGGTCAACTAGGTGAAATTGCACCCTTGTCGGAAACTTCCCGTGGTATCTCGTGGTCTCCTTTAGAATCAAGAAACCTGAGTGTCTCAATTCTATAGTGCTATAAAATAGGTGCTCGGGAGTACCCAGGTAGCACTAATCTGTAGGGGGGAATTTTAAAGGGGATACACAAGCCTATGTTTTGCGCCAGCGTCGTAGGCAAACGGGGCTACTGGAGACAGTTGGAGACAAGCTGGGAAACACTGCCAAAGATCTGCTTCCCAATATTGCAACCCAAAGAGAGTAAGAACCCCATCCAGTCCAAGCTAGGAAATTTCGAGCATAAAACTAGCCCAAACCTGTGGATGCTCATTCTCGACATTTCTCGACTATTTGGATATACAACTGGATATACTATGATATACAGTTCGTTCTTTTCTTGCCGTTCGGAGTCGAAGCCAAAAGCTGGAATCCTGTGCCTCCCCACTGCCGCGCCATGGCCACGGAGCTCCCGCACCGGTGGGCCGAAGCGAAGGTCCCACTGCCTCGGATGGAAAGACAGAAATTGGTCGTTCCTGGTACGAACATTGCTCCTAGTACGGCCAGGAGCCCTGGAAGAAGCGTCCTAGATGCATAGACAGAAATTGCACAAGTTCCTGGTACAACTGCTCAAGATTCTTGGTGCATAGACAGAAAACACAAGATTCTACAGCTAGTTGGTAACTGGTAACTGTAGAACTGCAGAAGACTTGCCGTACTCAACTAGAAAAGTCTCACACGAATTGAGCTCTGCTCAATGGTACACAGTGCAATATTGGGGTCTTGGTGAAGCCTTGGCAAGGGTCCTTGTCCAAGAGTGTTCACAGAACCGCCACAAAATGGGGGCCAAGGAAAGCCTCTCTAAAGAAGTGGGTGATTGAATCTTCTGGACTTACAGTGTGCAGTGAGAGATTCAGATGAACAAACTCCAGGTTTTGTTGGAGTTGTGGCACCTCTCAATTGCTCCCAGTGACGCGATGCAACCTTCCCCAAGGCCAACGAACAGGTCATTCTCAACTGCCGCCATTGAATACACCTAAGCACGTTCAGCGGTTCATCTGAAACCCAAGCGTTCACACCACAATATTTTGTTGAAATAAGACTAGATCCCTGAAACAGTTTGTCGACCTTGTTCGTCAAAATAAGCGCTTCGACACAGGATTGCTTTCAGATCCACATTTTTGTTGTTTCGATCTGCGTGTCTTGTTTCGCGGAAGGGTTCCCTCTTTCTTCGTCGTTGGCATCCACGTTCCTTGGCTGACCTGGCTACTTGCCAAACACCAAGGCCACTGCCATCCAGATTGAACCTCAAAGAGTTCCATCTGAGCTGCCCGGCGTGTTGCCGTGTCTGCATCGCCGCACGAGGTTTTTGCTGTCGCAAATCCCAAAGGAAGGCCCGACGGTCAAAGCCGCCAGTGGCGCAACTGGCGGGCTGAGGCGAAAAGAGAACGCCTAGAGCGAAAATAAAACATCATGACACTATCTGACTGTGTAAAGGCTGATATATGATCAAAGGAAGTTTAGGGTGCAAAACTTCCGTGTTACGGACGTTCAACAGCTCTAGCTCTAGTTAGCTCTAATTTCAGTCAGCTCTCTAGCTCCAGGTAGCTCTATCTAATCAGTTTTGGCTCCAGTCAGCTCTAGCTTTAATTAGCTCTAACTCCAGTTAGCTCTAGCTGTGGGTCAGCTCTAGCTTTAGTTAGCTCTCGCTCTGGCTTTGCAAGTGTTCAACATGCATTGTGGAAGGAAGTTTCGTACAAAGTGCGTGTTTGAGAGATAGCGGACGCACGAAATGTTGTTTTTCCATACGAAGGGTGGCTCCGAACCGTTCCGAACCTGGCAAGTCAAGCTCTGCGGAACGACGGCTGCGGCACGGTCTCGCGTCATGGGTCGAATCGTCCCTCCATTGTGACATATAACAAGAGTTTCCACCTGTTTCTTGTGTGCGTGCTGTTGATGGAATTCCATTGCACTTTGCAACTCCTGGATGGTTTCCGCACTGTAAGTGTGACTACAAGTGTTGCTGGTGGATGAGTTGCCGCTGGAATTTCATTGTGCTTTGCAACTTCAGGATCGTTCCCTTAATGTAAATGGTACTTTCATGTCTGGTGGAATCATACCTTCCAGTTACACTTTGGGAGGAAGTCTCGCAGAATCCCTTCGCTTTGCAGGTGTACAACATGCAGCTTGGAAGGAAGTCTCGTACAAAGTGTCGGAAGCACGCAATGTTGAGTTTTTTCAATACAAAGGGTGGCTCCGAACCTGGCAAGTCAAGCTCTGCGGAACGACGGTTGCCGTTGTGGGCTGCTTGCATGACGCCATCGTTGCCGGCCGGAAAAAAGGGGGGTCCGCAGAGCATGTGCGAAGGGACACTCCTATAGGTCAAATTGTTCTTGTAGGAAACTTCCGCCGCCGGCTTGCCCGGGAATATTATGATACTGTATATTCATATATATATATATACATACGTGTGTTTCCTTTTAGAAGGATAAAGCTATGTAAAGGAATTGTATTTAAATGTATTTGACAGTTGTTGTTGCTTCTTTGACATCCTAAAATGCCCCAAAGTGGGGCAAAGGCCCCATGGCGGTGGCTGTGGCCGTGCAATGTCATGAAGAAATCGGAGCCAACTCCAGATCAGTCCCACCATTCGATTGCACCTCTTGGCTGACAGCCACGTGCTGCAGTAGGCACCGGCATGATGCCCTCGGAGGCCTGAGGTTGCCCCCCCCACATGTTCAACTCATTCCCACATCATCAAGGCCAGGTCATGCTGCAAACAAACGTGGAAGCCAAGTGAAGCCCCGGTTCACCACCCTGTGATAGAGGAAGTTCTATTATCCCAACTTCATGAAGGTCCTTAGGTTTGTCATTTGGACACATTGGAGGCTTGGCTACAAAAAAAGAAATGTAAGAATAATGTTGCTTTCGGAAGACCTGGCCCTCTCAGGAAACAAGCAGAAGAAGAAGAAAGACTGCTCATCGTATGTTGTATTATCAACTTTCGACACTCCTAGAAGGATGTGGTGGCACGACAGCTCCAGGTGAAAACATCAGCAAAGGCTGGTGGATGTGCATTTCAGTAAAAACAGTGTGTTGTCTTCGAGAGTGACCACGGGTTCGCTGAACAGTTGCTGCCATTGCTGCACTCAGAACTACAACTTCAACCGTTTCCTTTCTAATAGCAGCATACGTTTTGAACAATCGTACTATTGCATAGCGCTTTAGAATGCTTTTTAGAGAGTACGCTTTGTTGTGATACCGGCATTTTGCTAGTCCCTCTCTATCGGGTGCAAACAAGGTCAACAAGTGCATGCATTGCTCAGATTGCCAACCTCTCGCATTGAAGTTGTCCCACAGTTAAGTCGCTTACTGTGTTCTGGTCAAAACATGTCAAAACATGAAGAGTCTGTCTCCTTGAAACTTTAAACCCCTAGGAGCAAGGACGCTACTAGGGGCTCCTGGCCTTGAACAAGGAAGCTACTAGTAACAAAGGGATGTATACTAGTAGCAAGGACGCGATTAGGTGACATATGTCTGCACAATATGCTGAACAACATTGCAGGTGTCGCCTACGCCTACTGTTCCATTGAATTCCGCCTCGTCTGCGTTCTTTTTGCTACTATTGCCCGCGGTCACAAGAGGCCTTGGCCACGCGGCCTGGCTTTTCACACGAGGATCAGTGTGCTGTGACAGGCCAAGTCCAGAAATGGCCGCCCAATGGTCGGCACTCCGAAGCTCTGAAGCGCATGAGGCTCACAACGCTCAAGTTGCTGCGGAAGGGTATCCTCTAGAGAGATGTACTGATCGTTTCAACAACACCATACACCAGAACATCACAATAAAATCATATTTCAACAGTCCACGTTCAAGGAACAGCCCTGCCTCATGTAACACTTCTCTTAGTCTTAATCCAAACAAACTGTCGCCACGACACAGCACTCTTCTCCTCAGAAAAAGAGAAAATGGCCACTACCATTTCGGTTGAAGAGCAGGGTCGGATCAAAGAGTGATCGATGTCGGATGGATGTCGCTGTCTGCTCTCTCCAGTGAGCATGCAATCCGACGGCTCTCAGGCCCTTGGGCCTGGTGGCTTCTGTGTACGGAGGCGTTGATCTCAAAGGCTGGTCTGCCGCTCAACAGAATGTCTTCCTTTCAGAAGTGTTGAGGTGTCATTGGGGGTTCCGCTTGGAGGTGTGTCTTGCATTGTTTTTTCAATATGCTTCGTCAACTTCATGAAAGTCCAAAATCCAACGATGAAATGACCGTCCTTTTGAGGGTGGCGTCTGAAAGTTTGGGTTCATAGTACTGCTCTTGAAGGATTTGGGGTGAAAGTCGAATATGGCACGTCGAAAGTCTTTCATTGGGTATTGGGAGAAGAAATTCTGAAATCGAAATGTCGTGTCTATTCTGGGTGACCTTCAGTAGGACAAGTACACACCTGTCTTCTCCGCCTCAAATCAGGGAGGCAAAACGTTATATTACATGCCCGGAAATGATCGATTCTAACATCCTCGATGGGTTACTACGTGCTGTTCGAGCATGAAACGAGCAATCCGTCGTACTGTCCAAACCAGCCATGCGTACTTTCGGACGACAGTCAAACCGTCCATAAAATGGTCAGCTCCGGTCTGACCAGAGATGACCGGCTTGAGGGATTTGCAAATAAACTGCTGCAATTGGGTCCGACCAAGGTGCCTCTGTTCAAGCAAGCGTGTCGCATGAGATGGGAGCCCCGAAACGAAGGAGACGCAAATGTATGCTTGTAGCATGGCCTCTGCATTGACTGGGTAGGCAAAGGCAGGCAAAGGATGTGAAACTTGACTAGCTAGAAAAGGCAGCAGTGTTTACAGTGCGTGTTAAGTTTCAACCCTCCAAACTGGGCAGTAGGGATACTTACCTTCCTGCAACCAGTGTTGAGTTGCTTGTTCTAGGCTACAACCAATCCAAAAGGCCTACCTACCCATTTACTGTATATGGAAAGCTCTAGATGGGCCTTTGAAAAGACCTTCCCTAGCTCATTGGGCAAGCAGTCCCAAGAGAAGAAATCAGTAGTGGACTAGATCGACTTGACATGACTACACTGACTACACTCTTGGGATCGAGTCATGACTTCTTTCACCACGCTTTGTGACACGCGGTCGGGAGACACCGAGGGACCCGGCAACCTGGCAACCCAGGAGGTCGCTGTGCCAGCGGTGAGACAAAGCGCAGTCGAGCAAATATGGGCAGTCGAGTGCTCATCACCGACACTGTCTTTTTGTTTAAAGCCCGCGCTTTCTACGTTTATTTTTCTCTTTTAGGGGGGGGCGTAGGCCGGTAGAAGAGGTAGGTAGAGGTAGCTTGTAGAGACTAGGTAGCTACTACCTTCCTAAGATGCTACTAGTACCTGGACGCAGGATAGCTCACGCTTCTTCAAGAAAACTCGCACTAATGGTAGTTCCTAGAACCGGGGAATTTGGTCCAGTACCTTCCGGTGAACAGGAATGAACCGGAAATGAGTCTAATGTTGAAAACTGACATCGTTCAACTTGTTAGCTAGCAAGGTGCTGTTTCCATGCTGCTCCAATCATCGCGAAACATGGTCATTGAGCAAAACAATGCGAAACGCCTGGCTTTGCGTCACTTTCGAGCTTTTCGTCTCACAAGTACCGCAAGCTGTTCAGCATCGGTTGTTTCATCCGCTGAGCGAAGCTTCTGCTCCACCGGCTCGTCCGCTGACCGTCGCAACGGCAGTGCCCCCGATGGTCTCCCTGTCAGGTGCTGGCAGCATTGCTCAAGCAGGCTGTGCAATAGTCAGGTTTCTATGGTCTCATCATGTCTCATCTCTCATGCAGTTCTGGCTGATTAGTTGATGGTTTTTGGTATCTCAGTTCCCGGAGGCAGTGTCCGTTCACGGCGAGACATGTGCGCATAGGAATCAGGAATCCAACTTGATCTTGGCGGGATTGTCAATGATGTTTGCACCATAGACGTACCTGAGATCTTCGCCAGTGCTAACGAGACTGGTCAGGGAGAGCTGGCATATAGCCATGGGCCTTTGCATCACACTCTCTCTCTCTCTCTCTCTCTGGCTCTCTCTCTCTGCTTCTCTCTCTCTCTCTCTCTCTCTGTCTGTGTATGCATTATATAATACGCGAGTACTGTACGGTCTAGAAGTGCCTAGAATCCTAGAATGTAAACCAACATCTGCACTCTGGAGGTAGTTCTCTGCCATCCGCAACTCTTAACTCTTGAGGGCCTTTATTATAAGCTGGAGCATTGAAGTATAATCAATATCATCAATATCCCCCTCACCGAAACCTTTGCAAAGAATGGCATTCAAACGGACGAACCACCGAACCGGGCGAAACTTCCAAGAGCCAAGGTGCACATCGCACATCAAGCCCTCCGGAAGTTCGTCATCTTCAATGCCCTGCACGAGAAAACCTCCGTGCGTGACGGTGTCCCAAGCGTGGAGAATCCGACAAGGTCCGACAAGGGGGCGAATGGTGCCTAGAAGGGAAGGCTGAAGCTATCAGAACAATTACTGAACCTCCCAACAGACCCAACTGCGTTGTGGATGCCAAGATTAAGCATTCTAGGATTGGTATGGATTGGCGGTGAGTCTTCTCTGCATCCCTTACATTTGATAGCTGGGTATCTGAGCCCCAGACCAAAGTGCACCTTGGTCTTCGGGATCATGTCACGGTAGGAGCAAAGCCTCAGAAAAGCACTCGGATAACTAAATTCTGAATACATCTGAAAACCCTATCCAAAAGCATTACTTTTTTGTCATCGCACCCACAAACTTACAGTCAACATCCAAATGTATTTGGTGGGTCCTGCATGATGATCCATCTTAGGCTGAAAAAGAGATGAAGATTGGAAAGATCAAAACGCCCTGAAACGGTAGTGGTTCTTCTTGGCGACAAACCACCGATAACCTAAATATTGCCCCGTGGATCCCTCAAGTGAAAGACATCGAGCATGGCCCCACTACCACGCCGACCTAATGGGCAGATCGTGCAAATGATTTGGCCATAGCTCAAAATGCAAAAGGACACACAAGACCTCACGCAGGCGAACTTGCCCAGAGTTTCACGTCATGCGGCTTGTATATCTGCTTGGTTTTGGAAAAAAGTGCAGCCAAGGATGATCAGCTACCATGAAGTGCTCCCACTGATCGTGAAAAAAGTGGTCGTTCACCAGTTTGTTGGAGCTCCGAATCGAGAGCGAGTGGAATCCGCCGACCACCAGTGTCTCTGAGGCACATCTTGCGAACCTTGAAATGCGGGTATTGCAGTGGAGAACGAATTCAATTGTCGACTTTGACACGCTGAAATAGGAGATTGCAACACATTGAATATTGAAACTCCAAACAAGAACATAACATCATGATTTTGCGCAAGACAGAAAACAAAATCACATTAGCAAGGAGGGCGTCCAAGCCGCCTCTACCGACAGGAAACTAAATATTCTGGAGTCTTAAATGGCTGGTGGTTACGCTCTGTCAACTGGAGCAGAAATGCTTGCCAGTGCTTACGGTATATTGCTCTTCAGAGTTTTTATCCACCCCAACATAGGGGCTCCTGGCCTTACTACTGGCTCCTGGCATCGCTACTAAATGCAGAGGCGCCAAGATATTCCAGCCCCTCACATCGATCCCAATCTCCACCCACTCCATGTTGGGATCCTGCAAAGGTATGAGTCTGCGAAGTGTCCGAACCAGGAGG